CTGCTGCTTCTGCTGTCCCGACTGCTGCCGCCGCTGCCGCCGCACTACTACTGCTACTACTACTACTACTACTACTACTACTACTACTACTACTACTACTACTACTACTACTACTACTACTACTACTACTACTACTACTACTACTACTACTACTACTACTACTACTACTACTACTACTACTACTACTACTACTACTACTACTACTACTACTACTACTACTACTACTACTACTACTACTACTACTACTACTACTACTACTACTACTACTACTACTACGACGACGACGACGACGATGATGATGATGACGATGACGATGATGATGATGATGATGATGATGATGATGATGATGATGATGACGGTAATAATGAAAATGATAATGACGATGATGACGCTGTTGCGGCTGCTTACTGGTGTTGAGGCCCTAGTTGCAACGATAGCTACTAAAACCATACACGATATGATGGCGTGCAGGCTTTTTTACGTAAAAGGCCTTTTAGATTATTATTGTAGACAGCGCACCATTGCAAAAACTGCGCCTCTACTAATCAATACTATGAATGTTGACATCATCTCTAAATGTCGACATACTCGGGGCAGGCCTGAAAGCGAATACAAATCGCTAGTTATTGATAAAACCCAGCTGTCAGCTGCGCACGTAATAGGATTCATATTTAGGTCGCCTGGTATAACCGATGGGTTAGTATAAACTATATTTTCTTGTAATTTGGAAACTTTGTTGTGTGTTGCATTTTTGTATCGCGTTTACCATGGGATTGGCATGGGAAAAACACAGGGCATTAGGAATTCTAAAGACATCTCCTAACATACCATATTAGGAACTGAACGCTAGCTATCTCAACATTGTTAAACCCTCTGCTTATGTGGAATAGTTTTTGAAGGCGGCTTATTTGGCATTACTATAGACCCTAATCGGAGACTCCGTGACTCAGAAACCATTAACTTGTGTTAAGTGTTTTCCAGATAGTATAGGTAGTAGCTTCTACTATAGCTCTCTAAGAAGATAACAACCCGTCATGAGGACCACGTACATTAAAATAGTTTCTGGCAAGAGTTAAAATCTCGCGTCAGAACTGATTATTTGATACATTTGAAGCAAAACACCACCGTAATAAAGGCACGCGTAATTACAATACGACCATGTATACATATATGTATTTCGATGAACAACCATTTAGAAGGCGGTACAATAAAATAGACCTAACAATTATGACAAACCTCTTCTATAAATACTAAGTTATTATGACCGCACTCCCACACATCGGTCTACCTTACATTTTATTTACAACTGACAAATATAGCTAATCGTATGGATATCTCCCTGGTATGAAACACTACAATAAATAAATGAGTAAAGTCACGGCTTGTAGAAATGTAAGCGCTAAATTATTTTGCTGTAAAAGCATTGCTGAAAAAAACTACTGATCTAATTTACCGATTGAATTCACGGAATGCAACGTTAAGGATTTTTTCGTAATAAAAAGCGTTTCATCAGAAACGGTTGCGATCGATGTGCGGATCGCAACGATGAATGGAAAAGTACGCCCAACGAAACTATCTCTGTTTATGTAGCTGATGGTCATCATTATCCTGATTATAACACATAACATGCACACTCGCGCGGCAGCTGTCCCGTTGTCCCGTTCGTATTGATCTGTCACGCAACATATTTTGTTTAGCAAGTATCGCTATAGAGAGCTCCGCGAATTTCCAAATTACCCACAATGCAACGCCATCGGCCATGTTGGTTGGCGGGAATAGTCATTTTTATTCGCCTATTAGGCAAATCCATCACAACGCCGCTCTCCTGGGGTGTTGTCAACTGCAGCAATCAGTATCAGAAAGAGCCACACAGCTTTTTTAGGCTGCCTAGCGTGATCACAACACAAGGTAAAGTGACAAGAGACAAGGCGGGCCACAGACCCTTGGAGCGTCTCAATACAAAAGCAATGCTGAATAAACACGAAATGTATTTACTACCAATGTCTTAATGTTTCTCGACTCTCTTTCGCCTATTGTATGCTTACTACTTCTGCTACTTCTGCTATTCTACTAGAAATACTTCTGTCGGTCCCGGTCGCGCACACTACAATTCTCTACCGGTAACATTTCGGAAGGAAACAAACAACTTTAGGTATAGAGATACTACATCGATTTTACGGGCTTGATCGGCTGCTCACGTCTTTATCCCCAAACAACCATGCGGAAAAATTGCATCGCCACAGACGAGTCTTACTTCGAGTATATTTGCACGTTGTGCTGAATCGATAGATAGAGGTGAAAGAGATATAGTGGAAGAACAATTATAAAGGAATGAAAGTCCTAGTTTTGTTCAGGAAACAATTCCTGAATGCTTGGCCTAAACCGCTTCTGTCATTGAGAGAAAAAAGGCTGGCACACACAGAGGGTGTTAAAACAGCAGACAAGTATCTAGAGGTTATGATATAAGTTTAGGCGGTGAAGGATAAGGTGTTTGGAAATGCTGTTTTGTCGTTACATTGTTCTTTTTTAAATATCGACGTTCGTTAATCGTGTTAGCTGCTTAGTCATAACCATAGAAATAATATAGATAACCTATATCTATAGTCTATCTATATTATTTCTATGGTCATAACCCAGCTAGCGTTGACAGAGTTATGATTCTGAAGGTTGATCAGATAATTATGATTCATAGACCTATAGTCACCATGCCTGTCTACACTCCTCCTGTTAGTGTTTGTGTGTGCGCGCGCGCGTGGAGGGGGCGCGCATGTGTGTGTGTGTGTGTGTGTGTGTGTGTGTGTGTGTGTGTGTGTGTGTGTGTGGTGTGTGTGTGTGTGTGTGTGTGTGTGTGTGTGTGTGTGTGCGCGCGCGTCTGTTAATGACCTGCCGTGATTTGCTGTAGCCATGAGACCCACCCCTAGCAAACCGTTAATGACGGTCCATGTTTTTGGACGCCATTTAAAAAAAAAACTCGACAATGATACTCTTCTTAGCTTGTGGCGTATCCTAATTTCCGTTCGAAAATATAAGAGGCAGTGAGCGGATCAAAATTGAATTTACGCAGCCATGCAATATCGGCGGCATTTTCGTCATCGCCGATATTTGAGTCCACCGATTTAGCTACAGTTATCTATTCATGTAACTATTCATGTAACACACTTAACTATTCAACTGTCTTGCTTTCATCTGAATACAAAACCACCCATATACATTTATTTAGCGAGCTATCAATCGATTCAGCCACTTGCCTATGTATGAATGAATAAACAAATAAATAAAAAGTTACTACATTGCACTCAGCGGACAACATTGATTTTCAGCGATCGACATTGATTTTTGTTTCATGACGGTGCCATGCTTTGTAGTGTCATGCTTTCTCTCGCTCTGTCCTCTCTTTCTCTCTTTCGCTCTCTCTTCATCCTACCCCCCCCCTCCCTTCTCTTCGTGCATGCGTGCGCGTATGTCCGTACATGCGCGCGCGCGTGTGTGTGTGTGCGCGCGCGCTCGTCGTATAATCTATATATAACAAAGTGTTCATTTAAAAATGTCCTAATAGCCCTCAGCGAGATCTATCAAAGCAGTGAACATTATGTGGTCGCAGTGCATTAGCATCGACACGGCTCCCGCTTTCGTAGCGTAGGTGGTAAATATACGGTACAAACATCCGTCTATACATACCAACCGGAAATCACGTAGCGAAGAGTAGTGAGCGCACACCTGTGTTCATGTCAACGATCAGCGCGGCTAATGGGCGTGGCTCATGTAGCCAATCATACGATGATGCTGACCATCATATAAGTAAGCACCGCGGTGGGCACGTCATCAATAAAGGTTCCGACTGCGCGAGCGACAGCTGCGAGACCTCTCGCGGTACGTGCTTCTCTTTGTGTGCGTTCGCGGCCGAGCGTCGAAACAATGTCGCGGAAATTTGATGCGTCCTCGTTAACGTCGTGAAGTGTGCGTGTCTGCCTGTGCTTGCTGCCTGAGTGACAAACCATTGCACGTTCACACGGACGACCTCGTCGCTGAATGTACAGCAGAAGCTGGTCGCTATAGAGCCTCACAGCTATAGGCTTGCTTATCCATATATTCTTTGGATAGTCGAGCGTCGCTTAGCTCACCGGTGAAAGGTACGAAAATTCTAAACGCTAAACTGTCGTCGGGATCAAGCATGTGATTTGCGCAGACCGCAGTTTGGTAGGGAGCTGCGTGTTTAGTTAATGAGATGTGACGTAATCTAGAGTAATGTGTAGTACGTGCAGTCTGTAATAGTCGAGTAATAGTTGTGAGGTCATGGTGCAGTCGTGTGATATAGACTTATGAGGATAACAAGAAAATCGATAAAGTCGCTAACATGTTAAGATGACAGCTGTATTAATCAGCTAGAATATCTGACTGCCAAATGCACAGGTGCCCCTTTAAACATAGCATGAACTCGCGTAATTTACACTGTTGACTGCGTTAGCATTTATTGCTTTCCTGATTACTAGCTAGCCGAAGTGAGCCTTTTATTATACTGCTACTCTCTACTTCTACGGAAGCTTGACCCGATACACGTTTTTTAGACTGATTCCAAAAGTCTCTGGTTGCCGTTAGAGTTCCACTAATTCTCAGCGGCTTACGTTTACTGTCTTTAGAGTTAGTCTAGTGTTCTTAAGAAGTCTTGATGTTTAAGCTTTTCGAATCTTTCCACCCAGTCACAGGCATTTTTACGACGCCCCAGAGAGAAGTCTATGCGCGCTCTACTTTACGGATTCAAGATACGCGACACGGTCGGTCCGGTCGCTCGACCCACGCGCAATAAATCTAAAGCAACTGCTAAAATCGGAGGCTGCACGCGCCCCCCGTCGTGCAGACGATGGAAGACGTGCTGCGAAAGTACTTCGGCGACTTGACTGTCAGCGAGAGCTCCGACGACAGCTCCGACGATGTGGCGCCTCGCTGCGCTATGGCGGCGCGTCGCAGCGTGCGTCGTGAGCCCGCCGCAGGTGACGCGCGCCGCAGCAGCAGCCACTCCCCGCCCATTCAGCGGACGAATACGTCCAGAGACGCACGTCGCAGGCCGACGAGCCTAGGCGGGCTGCGGAGGAATCGTGCGCTGAATAGGAGCGCGTCGCTAAAAGACAGACAGACGCGCGCCCGCAGCATGAACAACTGCGCCGAATCGCCGGGAAGCGACAGGTATGTGCTGCTAAACGAAAAGCAGATAGATGGCCGCGTGGCGCCCGCTGAGTTAGACAACGGCAACAAGCGACGGACTCAGAGCGTGCGCGACTGGATGAAGCCCAGAATGGACTTTGCGATGGACGAGGAGTTTCGCCCCCGCGTGTCTTCGTGCCCGACGCGGCCCCGGCCTCGCCACACCGCGTCGACACTGCATCCACTCTCGGCGAGCGCCGAGAATTCGAACGAGGACATCTACAGAGTGCGTTGCTTCACCGTCTCGTCGAAGGGCGACGTGGTGAACCGCCTCGACTCGATCCGCTCGCGCAGTAACCGCAGCATCAACAGCACGCACAGTTCGTCGAGCATGGGCAGCGGCTCGGACTGCAAGGAGGCGAGGGCGGGCGGAATTTCGCCAGCGACCATGTCGCGGGCGAGCACACCGCATTCAGAAGTAGGCCTAGGTGATAACACGCCCCTGCATAGAGTGTTCATACTCGGTTCGGCGGGAGTCGGCAAGACGGCACTCGTCGATCAGTTCATGTCGTGCGAATATAAAAACACCTACGAGAGCGGTAAGTCCATATATCGTCGATTGTCGCGAATACATGTACGAAGACAGTCGGTGTTGTGAGTGAATACGTGGTTAACTGCAGCGTCATACTCTTCGCGCGTATATTACACCTCCGCATGCCCACGAGCCTCTTCCTTCCTGTCCACGGGACGTGTTGTTGACATTTATCATGTCTGGCTAACGAAGGGTGGCGAGCACGAGTAGGCGATGACATTCGTAAATTAGACGCGATCGAAGGAGGAGTGTTGTTTATAATTACCTCCACGCGTGTAATGAACCCGATCAGCCTAGCAGGTGTAAACCCCGACAATCCCCCCGTGCTTCATTATTGTCTCAGGCGCGGTAACCTTATACAGCATATACAATATGAAAATCTTTATAACACGGTTATAATCTACACCGAAAGTATTAGGTACATGGCGCCACACTAAGCAAATCTCTTTCTGTTTCTGTTTTCTCAATCTGAGCAGTTCGCAGTCACGTACGATTCACATATTATCACGATTCCTCAAATAGAATACGATTGAGTCGTTTTAATAATAAAATTATGTTAAAAGTATTCACAAATTGTATTTACTATCAAAATCTTAATGCTTATGCACTCTATCTCGTCTAATAACTGCACGTAAACGCCGTCCAAATGCTCCTCTTCTGCAATTCCGCTCGCAACACAGTATTTCACCGCACGCACGCCACTGTTGACAAACTAGGAGAAAATGCATGTATCTGGGAGTTTCTCTATTTTTCTATGCGTGATATTATTGTGTGTTGCAGAGTAGCATTTGAACGGTACTCACGTGGAAGTATTAGTCTATAGACAGAATATAAATACTAATGGTATATAAATACTACTTTGGTAGTAAATACAATGTGTTTAATTGCCATCATTTTATTATTGAAACGGCCCAAGTGTCCGTAAATTTCCTTATTCCGTATTCGCCCATCCCCTGTTCCACCCAGTACGTTGATGTTGTCAGCCAGAGCTTGCACCGATTCACGCGACGTACTAATTAATTTCACGATGTCGTTGGCTGTGCGTCAGCATTTACTGACAAACACCCGCGACAATCGATGAAACGATCGACACTACCCGTGTTTGTCATAGACAGAAGCGCCGGTGACATACACGCACCCTTGGAAAAAGCAAAGCTGTGCATGCCCGCACAGCACGCACAGCACGCAATAACGCCTTGTTTCATCGATAAATTCTATTTATCTCATTTTCGCATGTGGGCATATGTGCACGGCGATTGTGTCAAATAGCACATCAGAAATCGATCTGTATTAACGCGCATAAATGACTTTAGTAGTAAATACAATGTGTTTATTTGCCATGATTTTATTATTGAAACGGCCCAAGTGTCTGTGACCGTTCCTATTCCGGATTCACTCATCCCCCGTTCCACTCAGTACGTCAATGTTGCTATTAGCGTAGTATTTGGAGTTTCGGCCATCACAAGCACTCGATCGTTCTTTGTTTTGCAAGATGCTGATAATAAGTTGGGGAGGGGGGCAGCATCACGATTAAGAGAAGGACGAAGATGTTATTAAAAGTTTTTCATGTTTAGTTGGCGAATACTGTGAAGCGAGCGAACACATTTACATGTCTAATAATGCGCTTTTAAACTTATTGAGCGTATAATAGTAATATATAGATCAGGGTGTCATTTTGCTTTTTAAACGGTATCCCGGTTCTATTCGGTAACTCAAACCTATTTAGAAAATACAAGAAATAGCGTTTCTATTTCGGTTTCTTATGAAATTTCAACCAAACATCTCGACCAGACCGATTTAGTATATTTTTAGTTATAAGTTTTTTATATACCAAGCTTTTTTAGTTATAATTAGGCTTATTTGACAGTAGTATAACATTCATTAGGAAGGGAAAGTTTTTAGCAGAACTTAACCTGCCTCGCGTGCGCGTAATTGCGGCTGATACGGTTGTTAAATATAGGTGGCTGTGCTGGGTGTAGGTGCGTCTGTATAATAGGTTAGTGTGTTATATGTGTGCGTGGGTGTAAAGTATTGAACTGGTTGGTGTGGGTTCGTGAACAATGTTTACGTGATTGGGATAAACACAGTCTCACCCCCCACGTACCGTATTGATAGAGAATGTTTAGCCGTATCTAGGTATTCAGTTTTGTTCCCCTAGCTCTCAACACCATTAGTAGCATCCATTAGGCGTTCTCAGTGTCGCGGGCTTCCCATCTGCGATACCTAACATCGGTTACGTACAGCGGGTGGCTAACACATCTACGATCTGCATTCATATGCTCGGCGCGGCAAATTCTACATCGATAACAGCAGATTAGAAACACGGGATCAGCGGAAGCTGTGTTATTTAAGGCTAGGCAATATATATATATATATATATATATATATATATATATATATATATATATTCTTTAAAATTGCAATTAGCCAGCCAAATTATATAATAGTATACACGAGTAATGCATTAGAGCGATCTTGTGTTATATACATATATGGAGTGGCGTACGTGCGTGCGTGCGTGTGTGTGTGTGTGCGCGTGCGTGCGTGCGTGTGTGCGTGTGTGTGCGTGCGTGCTTGCATGCTTGCTTGCGACTGTACGTGCGTGGGTATACGTGCGCGCGTGTGTGCGTGCGTGTACATGTACGGGTGTATACTTGCAGGCGTGCATGAGGACGGGCCGGCGCGCACGCGCGTGTGCGTGTGCGTGTGTGGGTGTGCGTCTAATGCTGCCTTTGGGATTTGATCCTGTGAGAATCATCACGACGTTAATTAGGGGTTTTTACGTGCAGTAACGCGCAGCTAACCTTTAAGCGCAGTCAGAAGTAACAGGGAGTTAGTATAACAAGACATTTTACATGTTTTGCCATGACAGAACAGATTTGGATTTGAATTGAAGGTACGGTGTCTTGCAGTCACAACGAGATGAAACCATTATGAGGGTAGTAAACTTGCTAACTGATGAAGGCGATAAATGCGTAAAGAGACTTAGTAACTGTAAGGCTAGAGTTAACGGTTGGAATGATACATGCTAGCAAGATAGTGATATGGCCTGGGGCCGAAGACCTGTCAGATTGGATAGCTCTGGACGAGTCACTAACTCCTTAACACATGAATCAGTCCAACCACGTAGACAGTATTACGCATGTGTTAAAAAAGGTAAGTTTATCCCATTTGCTGCTGTGCACGCTTGGCACGACAATTAGTAACAAGAAATTAACGGATAGGAAATTGTGTGGTCAACAACTACACATTTTCTTACTAGAACAATGTCGCTTGGAGTTGATTATATGATTACGGTGAATTTTGTGACCGGTACTTATAGCGATCTTCCCCATTCGACGGGCGATGTGGCTTTTGCTGAGATAATAAAATGCAATACCGCACTGTTGCGAATGACGAAAGTCGGTTAGCCTGGGAAATGTCTACATAGCAAAAGAAAGCTTAATGTTTTCCACGAATTATTGCCACGGATTCATGACTGGCTTGTCATGAGCAGAATAATTGTTGTAGGTTGCATAGTGTGCATTGATTTCCTCTCAGACAACCGCTGAAAAGCGAGGAGCCACGATGTGTTTAATTCCTCTATTCGTCACTCATTATGGGTACGTATTATTATAGGGCCGAACACAATGTACAGCAAAATCTATTGATATTAGTGACTTGTTCTGTCGGTTTTACCAAATTACCCAAAGCTTAATTACATGCGCATTCAGGCTTTCCTCGGCAACCTATACTCCTTAGCGCGTCTAGTGTCACAGTCTCTGTTTAATCTTGCACCTCATCAAACTGATGTAGTATTGTATAATACTGTATTCGACATCATATACGTATAGTGTGAGCGCATCATATAACCTAGACATCCAAATTTTATAGCATTGACCGGCCATTACTTTCATATTAGTGACAAAAAATTTACTCAGGGCAATGCAGCTGGCTGCCACGAAGACATGTACGCGTCTAAGAAATTTGCTGTGCTATCAATCAACGGAAGACGATATTTACTGTTACAGATTTTTATTATTTTATGACAAATAATTCTCCATGAATAAATTAGGTGCGGCATTTCGACAACAAGTTCGGGTAGAGGGCACCTTTCGCTTTCACTTACAGTGCCAACATCCTGCATTGCGCTTCTTCGCGGCATCGTAATTATAGATCCATGAACCATGCGTGTTTTCTGGCAACATACTTCACCTTGTGGCCTGATAACACGGCTGTGTATGTGTGCCCTGAGCGGATATTTACTCTTATTAATAGGGTCGACAATCTTGATTATTACCACCTACACGTGTTAGTGACGTACGTTGTTCCCGACCGTTGGCTAGCAATGTAATGGAAAGCAAATACCTAGTTATGTATCTTGAATATTTACCTATATTGTGGAAATTGAAATGGAAAAGAAAGGAACCCCTCTGTTCCGAAATAGTAGCGCATATGACGTAATCTGGAAATCTCCGCGACAATCCTTTTATGACGAACTAATTTTGTACGCATTTGGGACAGCTCTAATTATCTCGAGAGAAAAATTGATTGAAAAAAATAATAATTAAACATTTCTTAGATCGTTATCTAGAAATGATGTTTTTGCGCAGTGATGCGTTATTTTTGAATAGTTTTAAAACGATCGAGCATTCGTTAAAGAGCGTTAATATTGCAAATTTGTTTGACGTCAGATATAATTTGTTAGCATTATACCAGCTTAGAGATCTGGGATGTAATCAATATTGCCGATAAACATGTTTGATTAAGTAATTAAATTATCTTGCATTACGCATTTCTTGAAATTGAAGTTCCGCGGCTGAACATGATATGGGTAACATGAATCATATATACATTTATGACGTAAGCAGTTATATGACTACCTAATTTGGCATTAATGTGCAGGAAATTATACTGCTTAGTGATGCAATATAAGAGCATGCCTGCGGCACGACTAGAATTACTAGTTATGTAGCTCCTAGAGTAAACATTGTCCATATATAGGCCTATATGAATGAAATGTATGTA